AAAAATCCTCAATAAAATAATGGCAAACCGAATCCAACACCTCAGAAAGATTATTCACCACTACCAAGTTGGCTTCATCCCAGTGATGCAGGGGTGGTTCACCATATGCAAATCTATAAATGTAATACAGCACATCAATAGAAGCAAAGACCAGAACCACTTGATCATCTCAATAGATGCAGAAAAAGCCTTCAACAAGATCCAACATGATAAAAGCTCTAAGAAAACTAGGAATAGAAGGAATATGCATCAACATTGTAAAGGCTATTTATGACAAACCTACAGCCAACATCATACTTAACGGTGAAAAACTGAAACCATTCCCTCTAAAATCAGGAACAAGACAAGGGTGCCCACTATCCCCACTCCTATTCAACATAGTACTGGAATTTCTAGCCAGAGCAATTAGGCAAGAAGAAGAAATAAAAGGAATACAAATAGGTAAAGAAACTGTCAAAATATCCTTATTTGCAGACAATATGATCCTATAACTTAAGACCCAAAAAACTCTACCCAAAAACTCTTAGACACCATAAATAGCTACAGTAAGGTGGCAGGATACAAAATCAACCTACAAAAATCATTAGCTTTTCTATACACCAACAATGAACAATTCCATTCCCAATAGCCTCAAAAAAAAAAAAAATCAAATACCTAGGAGTAAATTTAACAAAGGATGTGAATGACCTCTACAAGGAGAATTACAAACTCCTGAAGAAAGAGATCGAGGAAGACTACAGAAGATGGAAAGATCTCCCATGCTCATGGATCGGTAGAATCAACATAGTAAAAATGGCTATACTACCGAAAGCAATCTACATGTTTAATGCAATTCCCATCAAAATCCCAATGACTTTCATCACTGAAATTGAAAAATCTACCCTAAAGTTCATTTGGAAACACAAGAGACTGTGAATAGCCAAGACAATACTCAGCAAAAAGAGCAATGTGGGAGGTATCACAATACCTGACTTCAAACTATATTACAAAGCAATAGCAATAAAAACACCATGGTACTAGCACAAAAACAGACATGAAGACCAGTGGAACAAAATAGAGGACCCAGATATGAACCCACACAGCTATACCCACCTTATTTTTGACAAACGGGTCAAAAATATACGATGGAGAAAAGACAGCTTCTTCAACAAATGTTGCTGGGAAAAGTGGTTACCCATCTGCAAGAAACAGAAACTAGATCCATGTCTATCACCCTGTACTAGTATCAACTCAAAATGGATCAAGGACCTAAATATCAGACCTGAAACTCTGAAGTTACTACAGGAAGGAGCAGGAAACACTCTGGATCAAATAGGTATAAGCAAAGATTTCCTCAATAGAACCCCAGCAGCCCAGCAACTAAGAGAAAGGATGGACAAATGGGACTTCAAAAAATTAAAAAGCTTCTGCACAACAGAAGAAATGGTCTCTAAACTGAAAAGACCACCCACAGAGTGGGAGAAAGTATCTGCCAGCTATACATCAGACAAGGGACTGATAACCAGAATATACAGGGAACTTAAGAAACTAAACTCTCCTAAAATCAATGAACCAATTAAGAAATGGGCAACTGAACTAAACAGAACTTTTTCAAAAGAAGAAATTCAAATGGCCAAAAAACACATGAAAAAATGCTCACCATCTCTGCCCATAAAGGAAATGTAAATCAAAACCACATTAAGATTCCACCTCACCCATGTTAGAATAGCCATCATCCAAAACACCACCAACAATAAGTGCTGGCGAGGATGTGGAAAAAAAGGAACCCTAATCCACTGCTGGTGGGAATGCAAGCTGGTGCAACCACTATGGAAAAAAATTTGGAGACTTCTTAAAAATCTAAACATAAACCTGCCATATGATCCAGCAATCCCACTCCTGGGGATATATCCAAAGAAATGCAACACAGGTTACTCCAGAGGCACCTGCACACCCATGGGTGCAGTGCTATTCAAAATAGCCAAGTTATAGAAACAGCCAAAATGCCCCACTACTGATGAATGGATCAAGAAAATGTGGTACTTGTACACAATGGAATTTTACTCAGCCATGAAGAAGAATGAAATCTTATCATTTGCAGGTAAATGGATGGAACTGGAGAACATCATCCTAGGTGAAGTTAGCCAGGCTCAGAAGACCAAAAATTGTATGTTCTCCCTCATATGCAAACTTTAGATCTAGGGCAAATGCAGCAATGCTGATGGACTTGGATCACATGACAAAGGGGAGAGCACATGAGGGAGATATAAGAATAGGTAGAAAACCCTTAACATGAAAGCATTTGATGTCCCCACTCCAGAGGAACTAATACAGAAATCTTAAAATGACAGGTTATCATAAGCAGGGGATCAGGAACCAAGGTAAAGATCAGTTAGAGTTGAATCAACATGGGTCATAACACATGGGTACATGAGAGAAATAGGAGGACTCTTTCTGTATAGCTATCCTTAACTCAGCTAGCAAAAACGCTTTGTCTTTCTTATGCATATGTCCTTTCTTCAACAAAATCAGTGATAAGGGCAAAATGGGACCTGCCTGAAGTGAGGAGGGGAGGAGGGAAGGGTGGGGGAGGGGGGCAGGGTGTGCGAAATGACCCAAACAATGTATGCACATGTGAATAAATTAAAAAAAAAAGAAACTAGAGAAATAAGGATAAACTAAACCCAAGTTGGCAGAAAGAATAAAGTAACAAAACTCACAGCAGAAATAAATGAAATAAACAGGAATATAATATGAAATAACAATGAAATGAATTAATTTTTAGAAATATAAACAAAATTGATTGACCTTTAGCTATATTAACTAAGAATACAAGAAAGAAGATTCAAATAAGTAAGGTCAATAATGAAAAATGAGGCATCGCAACACACATCGAAGACATACAAAAGATCGTAACAGACTATTACAAACAACTACATTAAAAGAAATCAGGTAGGCTAGAAGAAATGGTTGTATTTTTTAACAAAAAACCTACAAGACTGAGTCATATAGAAATAGGACATGTGACTAGACCAAAAATGAGCAAGACTACTCATTCAGTAATAAAAGTCTACCAAAGAAAAGGCCAGAACCTGACAGCTTCACTGCCAAATTCCAGCAAACATTTAAAGAACTAATACCAATCCTTTTCAAAGTCTTCTAAGAATCCAAAGATGATGGCATGTTTCCAAATGATTTTTATGAGGTCATCATTGTTCATGTGAGACAAAGGCATTGTACAAAAACTTCAGGCCAATATCTTTTATGAACGCAGCTGCAACAATACTCAATTACGTATTAGCAAACTAAATATAACACCACATTAAGAGGATCATTCACCATGGTCAAATGGGATTTCTCCCTGGGATGCAAGTATGGTTCAACAGAAACAAATCAATTAATGTTATATGTTACATTAACAGAATAAAGGACAAAAATATGATCCTATTATTATATGGAGAAAAAGCATTTGACAAAAATAAAAATCCTTTCAGATGTGAATAAGGCACTCCATCCAATAACACAATACACATTCTTTTCAAATGCACACAGAAAAAATATGAAAATATTTTTTCTGATCATAATGACATGATAAAAACTCTTATTAAATGAACCTAGGAGGAATATAGACAATAAAATACAATCTGTGATAAGCCCATGGCTAACATAATCAACAGTGAAAAATTTAAAACCTTTTCTCTATAATTTGGAAGATAATATAGATAGTGTGGAAAAATGAGACCTGTTGAAACTATTCCAGGAATGGGGGGGGGAGGGGATGATAAAGGAGAATGATGGGGGCTGAATTCAAATATAAATCAGAAGAACTTTTGTAAATGTCACAATGTACCCCAACACAACAACAACCACCACAATAATAATAATAATAATAATAATAATAATAAAGAAGCCTCCTCGTCACTTCTGCTTAGTGTAATACTGGAAGTATCAGCAAGATCAATCAGACAAAATGAAAAGAAATAAAAGGAATACAAACCAGAAAGGAAGAAGTAAAATTTTCGGTGTCTGACATGACCACAGAAAACACTAAATATTCCACTAAAAACTTGTTAGTACTATCAAATGAACACAGTAACATCACAGGACACAAAATCAACACACAAAAATCAGTAGTGCTACTGTATTCTAACAATGAACTCTCTGAAAAAAGAAATAAAGAGAATAATCTCATTTATAATAGTTTTGAGAAAAAATATATAGGAACAAATTTAACCAAGACCTGTATTCTGAAAACTATAAAATACTGCTGAAAGAAAGATACAAATAAATGGAAATGTCCAATGTTCATGGACTAAAAGAACAAGTACTGTTAAAATGTCCATACTATCCAAATAAATTTATGCATTTAATGTAATTCTTGCCAAAATTCTGTTGTCATTTTTCATAGAAATTGAAAAAACAATCCTAAATATGTATGGAGCCATAAAAAACCCAAGGCAATCATGAGTAAATCTATGGTACTAACAACACAAAACCAATACAACAGAATTGAAAGCATAGAAGTGAATTAAATATGTGTAGTAAGTTAATTTTCAACAAAGATGCTAAGAATACACACAGGAAAGTATTGTCTCTTCTGTAGTTGGTGTTGGAATAATTGAATATCCACATGCAAAAAAAACAAAAAGGACTTAAACCCTTGTCTTACACAGTAGGTCAGAGGGCTGTGGTTTCTTTTTGCTGTGGTAGAGATTTTATTCATTTACTTATTTAGTAGGTTTCTCTATGTAGACCAGACTCACCTGGAACTCACTAGCTGGCCCAGATGGGCTTCAAACTCATGATTCTTCTGCCTCAGTTTCCCAAGTGCTTAGATTACAGGCATGAACAACTGTGCCTGTTAATACTTGGCCTCTTTTATGAACCAGTTTCTTCCTTATTTGTCACATATATTGATGATACTTTAGGGAACGTGTAGATAATGTAAAAGAAATATTTGGACTTCAAGTATTATATGATATTTTGTTAATGTTATTTTAATTACAATGGTTGTCTCTTACCTGATAGACAAAGCAGGGAGTTGGATGTTACTTCCTTCTCTAGTCCTTCAGGCTTAGGTAAAAGAAAGAAAAGTTAGAGGTGAGAACAAGCTGACATTCAGGACATGAGTATTGATAGGGTGACCACAGATTTTTGAATTTTTGAATTAATGTATTTATAAGCACTGTAAAGGAGACAGACTGATAGATGAGACAGACAGATGAGAAAGTGAGTAGAAAATGAAGATATAAAGGAGATGGAGACAGAAAAAGAGACAGAGACAGAGTTGATAAATAGGAATGGGGATGAAAAATATTGTGAAATATTCTTATTATTATGCACTATCATATATTTTTATGGGCCACATATTATTTAGCTCTTCTTACCTAAAAGTTAGAAGCCTAACTGAATTATCTGTTGTTTCTGGGGACTCAGTATTACCTATCAAATGGGCAGACTTACTTACTTCAACCAACAGGGGCTTAATAATTGTGTCTTTCTTTCCATGTTCAGGGACCACAGCCACTTCAGTGCCACATGGTTCTTGAGACTTCAGTGCCTCTGCACTCACAGTGAAATTCACATTTCCTGGGGATGGGGGAAGTCAGTAGAGATGAGTACAATCTTCCCCTTCCTCCATGCTTCCAAACTCCAGATTTGGAACAGTTTAATATTCTGTAACCTTTTGTTTCATAAAACACAGGCAGGAATGGAAGTAGCATAAACTAGAGGCTAAGGTGGAGATGGCAGTGAGTCAGGATAATCTTCTAAGCATCCTTGAATGAAAAGCATAGAAATAAAAACCCTCCATCTGGGGGTTATTGCCTGAGAAAAGTAGCACTGGTGATATTGTGGATCCCACTGAAATATGCAATCCTTGAGTAGAGAATTGTAGACTATAGGAATTTCTCTCACCTAATGTCTTTGGGGTTACTGCCCAGGACAAAGTGTGACGCCCATTCCCACAGATGCAGTGAGAGCCCTGTTCACTCTCCACTGGGACAGAAAGGAATGCGGGAGAAGCTTCCAGTTGCACACTGACCTGAAATGACACAAGAAACAAAAGTATTAGGGAAGGGATTAGAAAGAAGAATAGACAGAGGGATTAGAAGGAGAATGGGTTGAAATAAAGCATATTAAGGAAATGGTTAGATTTCAGGTTGGTCAATATCAAAGATGATATAAATGAAGACCAAGCATCTTTAGTATATTAGCAGGACCTGAGATCTTAATCTTAGTATTTTGGGGGTAGTTTCCTCCTTCATGTGGTGGGACCAGAGGAGAGGGAAGGTAACAATGGAATGCTGCCCATGTGAGCAATATTTCTTTGATCTGGAAGCTTAACAATATCTTCAGCATCCACAGGAGAGTAAACAAGATTTATAAACAGTTAAATTCAGCAGAGTTAATATGTTCATGGACAACTTTTTAAATGACTATAGTAATGAGCTGTGAAAAGTTAAATACATAGGAATGTAGAAGTAGAATCTTGGAGAATCTATGACATGAGAAGGAAGAGACTTGGTATTTGTTGTCCATGTCAGGAATCTTTAAAAACGACCTAACTATAAAGGGTTATAATACAAGCTAGAAACATGTTTTTGCAAATTGGTATTTAGAGATATCAGAAACTATAAGTTATATCACAAATGAATATCTTTCTCACAGTATTCTTCCTTTGTTGGTTACACATTATATACAAAAGTTTGTCAGTATTCTTGGATGGAAATTTTGATTTACCTGACTACTCCCTGGTGTTCAATTTAGGAATGAGCAGTTCTTACCCGGATGCATTCGGGAAGGTAGTTCAACACAGTGGCCTTGAGGGTGAAGGCCTCTCCACGGATCACAGAGTACGGCATTGTGAGCTCCACAAAGAAGGGCTGGAAGGCTCGGAAGGAGACAGTGGGAGAGAAACCAAGTCCAGTGTCATTGGACAGGCAGAAAGCCCCTGCCTTCCACTCAGTGATGGTGTCAGGGACAGTTACTCCTAATTCAGTCACACCTGATGAGCTGGAGGATGGAGAGGTGAAGGACAGAAGGTAAGCATGTGAATAAATTTTGCCTAGGAAGTACACTCTTATAAATGGTTCTGTTGTCACGACTTGCATGCACTCAACAAAAATACAGATAATGAAGAGCATAATCAAAACCAGATATGGGAAAAGACTAGGCCTTTCTTCCAAATCTGTTTTCTATCTAGTCTATATCAAAATCTCCTATAAATATGTAGTCATAGCAAAAACTTTTATAGGTAATATAGTTATAAACCAAATATGTAATTTGCTATTTTCCTTAAGTTCTGTTCTATAAAATAACACTGCATTAAGGCTAAGTGTATATGTGTATAGAGGGATTTGAACTCAAGGCCTTGCTTGGTAGGCAGGTGCCTTACCACTTGAGCCATGCCTCCAACCCCTGTAATTTTTAATTCTACTTTGATTCTATTGTAACCCTATATTTCTAACCAGTAAAATAACTTATTTGTTAATCTGTTCAGTGCTTGTTTATATTATGTTCATTTTCTGGAAATCCTAGAATTAAATTTTTGCAAAATTTCTTATTGCTGATTCAGTTAGATCAATGAGACTTTCTTTAAATATTTATGCTAAATCTCTCCTGAAAATAGCAATGAGTTTAAAAGTACTTGGATATTGAAAAGTTAGCTAAAATTCCCCAGTTTCTTCCTGGAAAGTTTTTGTTTACACATTCTCCCAGTTTTTGCCCAAGGGCTGGACTTGTCCCTATCCCCATTTGGAAGAAGAGGCAGGTAAACAAACAGACTTTCTGGATCCTGAGTGGGGGTGTGAGCACTTCTCATGCTTTTACCCTTTGTTTGATTCAGTGATAAAATTAGTCTATGACTTCTCCTTGGAAGTAATTTTTCAATGTATCAACTTTTTTCAAGCACCTTAACTTTTATAGCTCCTACCCAAGGGTCTGACTCCTGAATCACCTGTCTCTGGGAATGGATGGTACCTGCATTGTCAAGACCTCTGAGACCATAGAGAACAAAAAGACGGTATTAAATGAATATGTGAGAACCTTCAGTGGCTTTCTCCCTGGGCTCAGCATAAAGAGAACAGACAAAAATGTTAAGTTTCCAGTTTTTCCCTGGAGAGGTTTGATTGCACTTAATGTTTTAACTTTCTGAGTTGCTACCTGAGGATCAGGCTTTTCATTAGCTGGTATCTAATGGATATGTGGTGTCTTCCTACATCTTCTACTGGCCAGCTCCAGAGATAGAGCTGAGTTGTCCAGACAATGTGCCTGTCTCTTGGAGCAAAAACAGTAGACATTTTCTTGGCTTCTGGGGGACACAGAGAACAAAGCAATGCATTGAATGTATATGCAGTATGATGGGAGTAGAGGCATTTGCCATAGGTCTTCTTCCCAGCTTTACACAGAAAGAATGGGGTATAAATTCCAACTCCCAAGCTTCTCCCTAAAGATTGAAGGATTTAGGACATCTACCTGCCATTCAAACTTTTCCAACTGCATTTCCAGGGTTTTCTTTCCATTTTGCCTGTCTCAAGGCACTGACAGGTCTCAGTATTCCCTAATTTCCTGGGGCCACCAAGAAGAAAGACAGTGGCTTGGACAAACACAAAGATTTGAGGGACACCTAAAATCTTTGGCTGGGCTGACTCAGGAGGTGTTTCTCCTACATGAAGTTAGTCTGACAATACTGGGAGGGGCAGTTGCCTTATCTAATACATTGAAACCAATGTAGACAATCAAGGAAAATAAAGAAATGGAAAGGTGTTCCAAAGGAAAAAAAAAGAAAAATCTCCAGAGACTGACCTTAATGAAATGGAGATAAGTAGTTTACTCAATAGAGGATTCAAAACAGCAAGCAACAAGGTCAGGCTAAAAATGCATGAACAAAATAAGAAGTCCAACAAAGAGAGAGAAAATATAAAAATCACCAAACATAAATCATACATCTGCAGAATACAATTATTGAAGTGAAAAATCCACCGAAAGGGCTCAACAAAAGACTAGACCAAAGAAAAGAATGGACCAGCAAACTTGACCACAACTCATGTAAAAATCATCTTAATAATGATAACAGAATGAAAGCATAATAATATATGCTTAATAAATAATTAATTTTATTAACTAATATATAATAATAATAGAATGAAAAAGAGTGAAGATAGCTTAAGAGTCCAAAGGAGCAGCATTGAGAAGACTAACATGTACTATCAGAGTCTCAAAAAGAGAGTGAAAAAGGGACAGAAATCAAAATAATGAAGTTTTCTTCCCATGGGGAAGGAAACAGAGCTTAAGATACAGGAAGACTAAAGAATACCAAATAACAATCCAAAGAGGGCTACACTGATGCACATTGTAGTAAAATCAACAAAAGTTAGGATATAAAGAAAATTTTGACAGCAGCAAGAGAAAAGCCATTTGTTGTATATAAGAGAAACTCCATGAGATTATTAAAGGATTGTTTTCCCAGAAACTTTTCAGAAAGGACTACATGATACATTCAGAAGGCTGAAAGAAAAAAAATAAATAAACAAACTTTCCACCAAGAATTCTACACTCAGCAAACACATTCTTCAAAAATGAGGTGTGATAAAGCTGAGGACTTCATCTCCATTTCTCCTGCCTTAAAATAACACTAATTGGAGTTTTTCTACTTGAAATAAGAGGACACCATAAAACAACATAGGGCATTAATATTATGAAACTCTTTGAAAGGATAAATATATAGATAAATTGAGAATTCTGTCTTAGTAAAATGGTATAGGGTAAATCACTTTAACTATAGTATAAAAGTTAAGAGAGGAAGCATTAGAATAATTACAACTAAGTTATAATACATAATACAAAGAGATGTGAATTGTGATATCAAGCATATAATACGTGCGTAGGAAAGATAAAAGCAGAGAGTCCTTGATTTCAAGGATAGCTAAACTGTTATTGGATTAAAGTAAATGATTACAAATATATTTTATGTAATTCCCTTCGTAACAACAAAGAAAATACCTACAGAAATTAAACACAAGAAAGAGGTTGGAATTGAAACCTATTAATCAAAACAACTCCACAACAAAATACAAAAGACAGCAAAAAAAAAGCAAAAAAAGAGACAAAAAATAAGACAAAACAGTTTAAAAAATGGCAATAGTAAACTTGTCATCATCAATAATTACTTTAAATGTAAATGGACTAATCTTTGCAATAAAAAGATAAAGAATGGCTACATGAATAAAAACCATGCTTAATCTACAGTAAGTGAGCAAAAAACTCACTTTAGATTCAAAGACACACGTAAGGTGAATGTGAAGGGAGGGAAGAAGATATTCCATGCACAGTAACCAAAGTAAAGCAGGAGTGGCTATACTTACAACAGGCAAAGTTGGCTGTAAGTTAAAACTGCTTCTAGTGCCTGGCGTGGTGGTACATGCCTGTAATCCAGCACTCAGGTGGTGGAGGAAGGAGGATCATGAATTTATTGCCATCCTGGCCTACATAGTGAGACCCTATCTCTAAAACACAAAACCAAAACAATACAAAAAAACAAACCTGCCTCTATTGACAAAAAAGATCAGAACATAATGATAAAAGGGTCAATTCAAAAAGTATATGTAACAATTTGAAATATATACATACGCAACGTCAGAGCACCTAAGTATATGCACATACTGATTGATCTGAAAGGAAATATTGACAACACTGCAATAATACTAGGAAGTCTCAATGCACCCTTTCAAAACTAGACACAGTATCCAGACTGAAAGTCAATATAGAATATAGAAGCCATAAACATAAAAAAAAATCAAGTGGACCTAACATTGTACATTCTCAAGCAGATCTTGGAGCATTCTCTAGGGTAGATCACATGCTAGGTCATGAACCAAGTCTGAGCAATTTTAAGAAGATAAAAATTATGTTTCTATGAATTTGTTCTCACCACAGTGACATGAAACTGAAAATTAGTAGCAGTAAGAAAACAGAAAAATCATAAATACATAGAAATTTAACACATTTTTGAAAACCATTAGATTATTCAGGAAACCAGAAGGAAATTTGAGAAAATATACCAAGGAAAAAAAATGAAAATACAGCTAACCAGAAGTCACAGAATGCAGCAAAAGCAGTACTAAGAGGGAAGTTTAATTTTAGCTAAGTAAAACAATGGTAACAGATACCTAAATTACAAAATAGGAAGGAGCTCAATGAACTTCACATCTCATGGAACTAGAAAAACAAACTAAATACAAGTTAGCAGGAGGTAGGAAATAATAAAGATACAATCAGAAATAGTAAGAATAGAAGAACTACAGAAAAATCAATATAACTAAAAATTTTTTGAAAAAATCATTAAATGTTAGGTTGGTTAACCAAGAAACAAAGACAGGAGAGTCAAATAAGTAAAAGGGAAAAACAAAAAAGGTGATGTTATAATGAATGGCTCAGAAATAAAAAAGACCATAGAAGTCATTAGGAATAACTTTTCAATAATGAATTGGGTAACCTAGAGGAAATGGAAAAATTCCTGGAGACATACAACTCATCCAGATTGGCTCAAGAGGAAACAGAAAGCTTCAAAAAGAGTTTGAAGTAATAATTGAAAACTTCTCAGCAAAGAAAAATCCAGAACCAGATGTCTTCATGGCTGTATTACCCCAAACACTTAGGGGGAATTAACATCAATCCTTTTTAAACTCTTCCAAAATTGAAATAGAGGGAATACTCTAAACTTACTTTATGAGGTCTGCATTACACTGATATCAAAGCCAGATGGGAATCTCATAGAAAAGAAAATTAGAAGGCAATATCTTTGATAAACACAGAACCCTAAATACTCAATAAAATAATAGTAGACTGAATTCAACAATACACCAGAAAGATTGTACAGAATGAACAAGTGGGATTTATCCATGGAATACAAGATTGATTTAACATATACAAATCCATGTGGTATACCATATTGACAGAATGGGAGATAAAAACCACATGTTTATCCCAGGAGAAGCAGAAAAAACATTTGATAAAATTTGATACCCTTTTATGAGGATGTCAATGGAGTAGCAGGTATAGAAGGAAATTTCCTCACCATTAATAATGACCATTTATGACAGCCCAGAGATAACATTATAGCCAATGAAGAAAAACAGAAAACTTTGTCTTAAAGTTCCTGTATGGGATAAAGATGCCCTCTTACCACTTCTATTCAGTGTAGTACTGGAAACACCTGCAAGAATAATCGTACAAGGAAAAGGAACTAAAAAGCATTTAAATAGCAAAATAAGTAAAATTATTCCTGTTTGCAGATGACATGATCCTAAAGGCAGAAAACCCTGAAAATTCATTTAAAAACTATTGGAACTAATCAATAAATTCAGTGAAGTTTCAGTGTATAAAACCAACATACAAAAACAACTTACAGTTTATATCAACAAGATCAAGAAAACAATCCAATTTATGATAGAATAAAAAATACTTAGAAATAAATTTAAGGAAGGAGGGAAAAAGTCTTTACAAAAACAAATGGAACAGTGTCAGCATCCCATGTTCATGGATTAGAAGAATTAATATTTTTTAAATGCTCATCCTATCCAAGTGATATACAGAGTCAGTGCAATCTTTATCAAAATTACAATTGCATTTTTTAAAGAAATCGGACAAAATTCTAAGATTTGCATAAAACCACAAAAGCTTGTGAATAGTCAAAGCAAATTTAGTGTAGAAACTGTGGTATGTAGTAATTGTGATGGTGAACATCTGTAATCCTGGCACTTGGGAGGCTGAGGCAAGAACATTGTGAGTTTGAGTCCAGTCTTGACTAAATAGTGAAACCTGTCATAAACAAAGGAACAAACAAAAGCAAAAGGAAATGTGGCATGTATATACAATGGAACACTATTTGGCCATAAAAAAAGAAATCCTGTCATTTGTAACAATGTAGATAGAACTAGAGGATACATGCTGAGTGAAATAAACTGGGCATAAGAAGACAAATTCTGCATGATCTCACTCATATGCAAAGTATAAAAAATTGATCCCATAGAAGGCAGTATATAGTAATCATTTAGTGACTAGGAATGGTAGAGGGTAGAAGTGATAGGTAGAGGTTAGAAACGGGTACCAAACTATAATTAGAAAGGAGGAGTTAGTTCAAGTATCCTACAGCACAATGGTATTGCTCTAGTCTACAGCAATATATGATATATTATTACAAAATAGCTATGAGAGTCTCAAGTTTCCCAACACATAGAAATGACAAGTGTTTGAGGAGATGTAAATGCTAATTATCTTGATTTGATCATTATGCATTGTATACATGTATCAAATTACTATATCGCACCTCAAAAATATGTACAAATATGTGTCACTTGAATAAAAAATAAATGAAGACAAAGTCGGAGACATCACAGTTCCTAATTTTATTATTACAAAGCCTAAATAATGACAATATCAGGATACTGGCATAAAATCAGACACATAGAATATTGGAACAGAAGAGACAGCCCAGAAATAAACTCAAGCACACATGCTTAACTAATTTTTGACAAAGCCCACAAAAACATACAATGGAGAAAGGACAGTCTCTTTAATAAATGGTAATGGGACAACTGGATAAGTCCATGAAAGAGTGACTCTGGCCTGTTATCTGACACCATACACAAAAATCAATTTACACTGGTGGAGTGGCTCAAGTGATAGAGTGCCTGCTTAGCAAGCATGAGGCCCTGAGTTCAAACCCCAGTACCACCAAAAAAAAAATTAAATTACAGTGGGTTAAAACCCTGAGTGTAAGAACTGATAAGAAATTGTAAAACTCCTAGAAGAAAGCATAAAGATCTCAGAAATGAATTTTTGGATATGACACCAAAAGCACAGTCAACAAAGGAAAAAATAGAGAAATGGCTATACCAAACTGAAAAGCTTTTCACAGCAAAGGAAACAGTGAATAAAATGAAAAAGTAGCTTGTGGCTTAAAAGAAATTATTTGTGAATCAGATATCTGAAAAAGGATTAATATACAAGAAACTCACATAAATCAAAAATGGAAAAAACCCAATAATTTGGTTTAAAAGTGGGTAAGGTAATGTATAGACATTTTTCCAGAGAAGATATGAGAATGGTCAACAGGTACATGGTAAAAGCAAATGAATGAAGAGATAAGGAAGTTGACACACACATACAAAATCTATGTTAGTCAGCCTTTCAAAAGAAGGAAGTCTTGCCACTTGTAAAAATATGGGTGAACCTGGAAGATACTGTGTTAAGTGAAATGTGCTAGACAGAGAAAGAAAAATCTTGCATGATCTCACTTGGATGCACAATCTAACTAAGTTGAATACATAGAAACAGTAGAATGGTGTTTGGGGGAGTAGTGATGAGGAGAAGCAAGTCTAACTGCACAAAGTTGCCGTTATTGTAGGACGAGTAACTCTAGGTATCTAATGTACAGCATGAAGACTACAGTTAATAATATTATATTGTGTTTTGGGAATTTGCTGAGAGAATACATGGATTCTCTTATGGCACACACACGAGGTAACAATGTGAGGGGACGGGTATGTTAATTTGATCAACTGTACTAATCATTTCATTATGTGTATCCAAACATCATGCTATATACCTTAAATATACACAGTAAAAAAAGAAGGAATAGCTATGAATTAAAAACTGTGAGGCATCTATATTGTGTTTTATATATTCAGAAAGTTACTTACTCCACCGCCACCAAGTTCCAGATCCACGTCTCAGGGAAATACTTTCGCACAGTCTCTTTTTGAGATGCTGAAACAAGTACTCGGTCTTCATGGTTTTGGCTTTTGTGAAGGTGTGCAACTGGTTCTATGATAGGTGAGAGAGAAGACAGGCAGAGTCAATACAAAAATAAAGCTTATGAGAGATTGTAATTAGTGGTACCAAAGAAATAAGTAGGGTGATGAAACAGAGGGGAGCCAGAAGAGGGCACGTGGGTAACCAGGAAACATCATCTCTTTGAGGTGGAGATATTTTAACTGAATTCTGAAGTATTATTATACATTAAACTGTGGCTAGAAAACCACAAAGAATGTAAACAAGACTTTGGCAAAAAGCCTTGGATTGTTGGTGAAGCAGAAGGGCTCTGTGGAGTCCTAGGAAGCTACTGCCCCATAGACAGTGGGCTAAGTGGACAGATGGGGACTATGGAGTGGGACGAAGTATAGAAGTCTAAGTAGCCACTGATTTATCTGTTCATCTGTGGGAACAAAGAAAAACTGTAGCACACATAATATGATAGTGATTTTGAGAAACAGTTTATAGGAATGACAGGTTCAGAAAGAGCCAAGGCTCTTTATTCCATGTTGAGCTAGAGTGTTAGACTTAGGTTCTCCCACTATTCACCTTCTGCTAGTGATGTTCTGGTAGATACTTAACAGTCAGTTTTCTTGAGAAAACTTGTGTATATACCTGTATATATATAAGTTTACTATAAATTTTATTGGTAATGGATTTTATAGTTTATAAAATAAAATACACAATCATCTTTATAGCAAATTTCACATAGAAACTGATTCTCATAGAATGCTTTCCTTCATTTTTGACACTTTTTTGGGCTGTATTCAACTTATGCTCAACCATGTTTTGACAATGTAAGACAACATAAATGCTTGTTTATTATTTGATTCATCAAAGAAGTAGCTTACATCATTTGATGAATGTGTGTGGTTCTGACATAAATATTAGCTGATGCTTTGGAGGAAGCCAAGAGCTTCTTTTCATGACTGAGGAGGATGTGGTACTGTTAAGTGAACATTTCTATTACCGTTTACGCTGATTCTATGCCTGGAAACTTCCCCTTCTCTTTCCAATCCCACACATCAGAAGCAGATTCTTCACGAATGACTTCCTGAGTTCCCCAATCAAAGTTAGTCCTTGCCTTTATTCATGCTCCTGTGTTTTACCTGAACTTCTCTTTCAGAACTTTGATAAACTGCCCTGTATTCTTTCAGATTTGCATTTGTAGGAGGTTTGCCACAATAAAAATTGGGCTTGTATTGCTATGTAACCTTGTGCAAGAACATTTATGTATCTGAATCACAACTCGTTTTTTTTTAAATTTTTATCACATTTTATCTTTAAAATTTATTTTATTTGGTTTAATATTTTAGGCAATAATTTATTATTATTTTACCAGAATATCTTGCATAGTGCACCTCATATCGTTCAGGCGGTGTACAAACTTTCAGTTTACGAATTTTTGAGTTGGTGAATACTTTTAAGCCCATACCCTGCAATGGAAATTATCATCTCATCAGTACATATATATTATAAAATGTATATGCACATGCTTCTTTTTATTTGACTTGAATAAACAGTCTAATTAGCTTAATATTAAACTTTTAATGTTCATATCTGTACAAAGAACCTTACTATACATGTGGAGATAATTTCACTTTGAACTTTAAACTATTTCAGTAGCAATTATTTTATATAACTGATGTTTGTAAACATCATACAGCAATGACTTTCAATAAAAAAGAAAATTTGATTAATAGACCAGAAAGTCCCAGTCCTGGTTCTGATGCTTTTGGCAGATCTGGTACTATTAGTGACCTTGGAGTAGTCACTTGACTTCTCTATTCCATTAACCCTAACCATGATAATAAGGCATTAAAAATAAGTATTTTTTTCCACGTATGACTTTTTAAGAACCTTAAGAACTGACTATCTACAATGTAAGGATTTTACCTGTAGGAACATATACATATCTTTTTCATTTGTATTTGATACTGGGTAATATAGGATTCCATTAATGTACACATTATGGTGATCAACACATTCCTCATTCTCTTCTTCCAGACTCAAACCTCCAGGGAAATCGCTGAGGTCTTTTATTGGTAGCAGTTCATAAACCTGAAGAAATGCAAAAGATGCAAGGGCAAACTTATTTGTGGCTTGTTTTAAAAGTGCCAGGAGAAAAGAAGGAGAAAAATCACTACCAGTCTTTCTTTGAGTGCCATTATTGTTTTGATAATTTATAGAACAGAAATGGATAACTTTGTCTAAACATTAGCTTCATTTTGAAGATGTTTAGCATTTTAAAACACCCCAAATACTCAAAGGTCATAATACTTGGTTATATCACTCACAGGAAAACACTAGATTCAATACTAAAATGAAATTAAGTAATATTAATTGAGAAATTGAGTTCTGCTAGAGGTGAGTCATCGTACAAAGCTTGGGGATGATTGAATGAGTGATAGTTTTGTCTATACCTGTAGTTAGCAATTGGCTCAGTATACAACAAGGCTTATGGATGCATGTTCTTAATAGACACATGAATAAATATTGTATATATATTGTATATATCCTCCATGTAGGACAGGATAGTATTTTCTAAGGTATTATTCATGGAACAAAATGCTTCAGGTCTTCACACAATAAATAAGTGTTTAAGTCTAAAATATTGGAAATGATGCTTTTAAGTACATGTGAATGGGGGGAGAGATAGACAAGAAAATGCTGACAGGTACACTGTACAATATTCATAGGAGTTTGAAAAATGATTGAAAAGAATGGATCAGCAAAATGAGTAGTGTGATGAACTTAGATGCTTTCTCAAAGGCAACTCCCTCTTAATGTTTCCCATTTCTCCTTCCTGCTTGATTTTTCTCCAAAACATATGTCATTGTTTGTCTCATCTATGAAAATATAAATTCCACAAGACATAAAGTTTTTTTTTATCACTCCAGTATTTCACTATTAGATTCCTAGCACTTAGTATGGTGCCCACAATGCAGTAAGCATTAAATCAATACAAGTTCAGTGAATGAATTAAACTATGAGGAACAAAGTGTTTCATCAGTAACACTAATCAAAGATTGATAGGAACTGGTGTCCCTCTATCAAATACCTGAACGCTTCTGCTTTATTATTAATAAATTAACAGTATTGTCTGATTTCTATATCTACCAGAGTTGTTATAATTAAAAAAAAACCCTAGAATTTAAAAATCATGTCATAGTCCCTTGCTTCCATTATTGAAAGGCACTTAATAATTCCTTTAAAGGTATTTTAATATTTGCCTGAAGAATATAGTAGTGTGTGATTCTCTCTCTCTCATCTATCTATCTATCATCTATCATCTATGTATCTATCATCTAATCCAGAGGAGTGACAGAACATGAGAGATTACTGAAAAAGTGCATGTGAAAGAGCTTAAAACTATTAATCCATAGATAAATAGAATTTTAATAGATTTTCTCTCACTCAAGTATTTATTCTTGATCTGAGCCCCTTGTGCACATCCCTTCTTGATTGCCCAAGGCTGATGGGAACTCACCGAGGATGCAGAGAGCTCAGCTTCAGGCTTCATGAGCAGCACACTTTGGTCCACTACTCTCAGGGCACATAGGGAGTGGGGAGAAGCAGAAACTTGAAGTTGGCTGTGTGAGGCTGGAGATTTTGTGCTGGGCTGAAGTTCAAATTTACCTATGAATGGGGAGCAAGGTCAGTAAAACAAGTTTCTAGATTTACCCATGTATTCACCTCCATTTCCCAAGTGTTTCTTACATTCAATGCATAACTGCTATGTTGGCCTTCACGGTGGTTGGCGTTATGCTAGCACTGAGGCTTTTTGTCCCCTCTACTTTGTTTTGATTCTCAAGATTCAGTTGAGCCATTGCAACAATTTCTAATTATTCTTATGATGTACTAATTCTTTGTACATATGACGAGGTGCTAGTTAACTCTGGGTACAAGGTGAATGGGTCTAGGTGCCCCTGTGTTTTTATTTTGGCAGTTTGAAGTCTTAAATATTTGGTTGCATATTTCTCAATATTTCATCATAGAAGAAAGAATAAGATACTCTGAACTGTGACATATGATAAGAGATAATGCTGTACAAGAATATTACAAAGTGACTCAAATGATATTGTTTCTTACTATGACTCTGCTTCTACCTTGTTGAATGTCTGGATCGTTCATTTAACTTTTTTTGCTGTCAGTCCTCACTTATAGACAAAATAGCAATAGTGATAGTAACTACTAGTTTTAAATGTGGAATATTATGATAGAAACAACTCACCTTGTTGTCCAGACAATTTTCAATATCATATTTTGCAGAATCCCCAAACATTTCTCCATCAGGTAAAATGGCAAAGATGAGCAACCGGGCAATGGGAGCCAAGTCTGAGTCCACAGGGAGTGACACAGAAAAGTGGCCTTTCACTGGAGCGCAGAGAGAAGAACATGAAGCAATCATGGGTTAGTCATCTGCCCAGAGCCGAAATAAAATTCTGTTACTTGACCTAGTTAGTGACCTTGTATTAGTAGAAATAACAAATAGTTCATAATAAATGGATGAGTACTTCTAAGAACAACAGCTTTAGAAAAAAGACTTTATGAAAGACTTATCTCTTGTATAAATCACATTTTGATTTCTCACCAACTTTAAGCTTAACTTACCCGTACAAGGCTCTGATGTTACCTAAGGATATGGTATAGTCTACTTTACTACCATTCAATATAGACCTCACACTAGAAGAGGGAAACAAAACGTGGAGTTAAAAGATTCAATAGTAAGAGCACACAGTATTTATGCTTTTGTCCTCTCTACTACCCTGTACAAAGAGGTATCCAAACAGTAATTCATTCATAATTTTCTAGTTAGTCATTGTTTAGATTCCATTAGAATAGGAGAAAACTTCAAGGGTTTACATTGTTCCTTATTTGTTCATGGGGTGAATCCCATTCCATGGGAAATACCCAACTTATCCTTCATAAATTGTAAATAACTTCAAAGGAGAAACAAGACATTTATACAAATATCAATGATTCAGTACAAGACCTGGAATATAGGAAACACCAAAAGTTTACCATCCCTTCTCCCCATTCTCTATCACAACTCTAAAAATGGTCCTTATTTTGAGAATAAGGCCCATATATATTTATAGCTTGAAAATTTGGAATAAATATAGTCTACACACAAAGACATGATCATTTTAGAAAATCTAAATGAGTATCTTGAAGAAAAAGAAAACAAGTAATTGTTAAAAAGCGAACAAAAGAAAGCTTATTGCTTTCCCTCATTCATCTTTAGTGTGATTGGATGGACATCAGTTGTATTTGAAAGTATTTTTGGTATTTCTGTGGTGTAAGGTTGGGTGGGTGAGAATGAGGCAGGAATGTGAAGATCACAGAGATACTCACAGTCTCCCTGCTCCACAGGCAACACGTGAGTCCCGGTTCGGACAATGTTTCCCTTTGCCATTATCTGTGAAAAAAAAAAAAGGAAATTTAGTTTGTTTGACAGAGACTTACTCCAGTCTTGGCTCTACTGGAAGTACTTAGCCCCAGGAGAAGTCAGACTTTCCAAAGGAACATGGGTAAGGAGTCAAAGTAGTTATGTCCAAAGAGGTTTATAATGACTTGCCCCACAGAAAGGCTTGACCTAAAGTAACCTCTCTTCTCACCAGATAATAGAAGACAAGCTCCTTTTGCTCCTGTAGTACCCATCCATTTAGAATATAATGTGCCTGGATGATCTGGGTTTGGCCACACGGCAGTTTACCAGGCATGGGTTCGACGTGGAGAAAGCTCTTGCTTGGGGAGAACACAGCACTGGCCGTGTGTTGTGCCTCTTCATTTTCTTCTGTCAGCCATCTATAACCACTATAACAGGGACTATGATCTTTATACTTGACCTAATGAATTAGAAAAACAGTATTACTTTATAGAGTGAATGTCAAGAATCAATGTCCTCACAAAGCTGTGTAAGTTTACTGTCCTGGCTTAACTAGTAGCTAGAAATCTCTTGCTTTATAGTGACAAGTGAGAAGGTCTCATATTTTGGTTGTCTGTATCAAATGTAGGCATGATTTGTTTCTTTCTACTAGAAAGCATCTTGGATTTAGTATTTATAGATCCGAAGGGTAAATAATTAGGTATCTGTTGCTGATTAGCTTGCTGGAAGGTTCTTTGTTACTTTACCCTATGAAGTTAGAGACACTGAAACCATGAAACCTTAATAAGGAGAGTAAATAATCTTTAGAAATCACTAATTGTAGTTTAGAAAATAGCTGCTTCTTTGAATTGAGCTGGGTGTTATGAATAAATGATATCTGAGAAAACTTTCTGTAAGAAGCTTTGCTTAAAGAGTGGGTTGATAAACTAGCTGATGTCTTCCTTTCCAGGCCTGTCTTAGGTCGATTGTTGTTAATGCTTCCTGTGGTTCTGGATTCTTGTGTCTCATAGGATCTATTTGATTTTCCCCCCAACTTTTGTTCACACAGAAGCTATTCCTTAGCTCCATCTGGTCTTCTCTACCCTCACCCACAGGTCCCAAATAGCATGAATGAATCTTTGTGCTAGCAAAATGCTTTGATCACATCTTAAAGTCATGTGATAGTGACAATATATATGATAATCACAAAAGGGAGTATCTACATGTATACATGGAAATGCTGTACTCTCTGCATAGAAAGCTTAAACAAAAATATCTTTTTATTCAAAATGGAGGACAAGAAGGTAAAACAGGTCCTATCTGGGGGTTGGTACCAGTAGTAGGAGGGAGGATATAAGGAAAGGGTGAAGGAGGGTGAATATGGTGGATATATTACATACTCATGGTGTGAAAATGGAAAATGAGATCTGTTGAGACTAAAGAATGGGAGAAGAGGGGATAAAGGTGAATGACGGAAGGGGTGAATTTAGATAAGATATATTGTAACCACTTTTGTAAATGTCACAATGTACTCCCAGTGCAGCAATAATATGACAATAAAACTTAAATAAAAAAGGGAGTATTTAAAATCATTTCTTTTTCAAAGCTAGCCTGGGGCACAGAAAGCATTCAAGACACTTCTTGATCAATAAGTAGTAAGCCTTCAAGTTTTAGTTATTAGAGACTTTTATGCCATCTGTTGACAGCTGAACCAATACAATCCATTATTTTCCCTTTATCTAAAAGCATGAAAACTCCTCAGAGGCAGAGGTTTTCCACCACCATGACCATGTAATATCCACTGTGTATCCTTATAATCATAAACATACATCTCTATTGATGGATAGGCTGTATGCTGTACAAAAAGTTAGGGAGAAGCAGGCCATCTGGGGAACATCAGACTAGCAGGACAAAAGTAAAGTAAGAAATAATTTATGTGGTGTGTATTTCCAAATTTAAATGCTAATTATGTTAAAATGGGCTCTGACAGTAAAGGTATGTAAAGGTTAAGTAGGGTTCACTAAGTGCATCAGTGTGAACTTTCATTTAATCCTCACAACTACTCTAAGAGTTAAGCACTAATATTTTACCCATTTTTGTGGTACTAGAATTTGAACTCAGAGCTTTCACACTTGCTAGGCAGGCACTCCACCCCTTGAATCTCCTTTCCAGTCTTTTTTACTCTGGTTATTTTTTATGTCATTTATTTATTTTGGTCATACTGGGGTTTGAACTCTGGGTTTTGTGCTTGCTAGCCAGGTGCTCTACCACTTGAGCCATGCCTCCAGCCCTGCTCTGGTTATTTTTGAGATAAGGTTTTGCTTTTTGCCTAGGCCAGCCTAGACCACAATTCCCCTATTTAATGCTTTCCTCATCTCTGGGATGACAGGTGCATGATACCACATACAGATTCTTCTCACAAAGTTTTTTGCCCAGGCTGACCTGGAACCAGTCCTTTTGATTTCAGCCTCTCAAGTAGTTAGAATTTCAGGCATCAGCCACTGGAACTGGCTTATTCTACTTACCATTGGGGGTCAAGAAATGAAGCATAATTCTTAAAAATCTAAACATTGATCTACCATATGATCCAGCAATACCACTCTTGGGGATATACCCAAAAGAATGTGACACAGGTTACTCCTGAGGCACCTACACACCCATGTTTATTGCAGCGCTATTCATAATAGCCAAGTTATGGAAATAGCCAAGATACCCCACTACTGATGAATGGATCAAGAAAATGTGGTATTTGTACACAATGGAATTTTACTGAGCCACGAAGAAGAATGAAATGTTATCATTCACAAGTAAATGGATGGAACTGGAGAACATCATTCTGAGTGAGGTTAGCCTGGCCCAGAAGACCAAAAATCATATGTTCTCCATCATATGCAGACATTAGATCAAGGGCAAACACAACAAGGGGACTGGACTTTGAGCACATGATAAAGCAAGAGCACACAAGGGAGGTGTGAGAATAAGTAAGACACCCTAAAAGCAAGATAGCATTTGTTGCCCTCCATGCAGAGAAACTAATGCAGAAACTTTAAAGTGACAGAGGCCAATAGGAGAAGGGGACCAGGAACTAGAGAAAAGGTTAGTTCAAGAAGAATTAACCTAGAAGGTAACACACATGCACAGGAAATTAATGCGAGTCAACTCCCTGTATACCTATCCTTATCTCAACCAGCAAAAACCCTTGGTCCTTCCTATTACTGCTTACACTCTCTCTTCAACAAAATTAGAGAGATTTAGGGATTCCAAGATGGTGACTAGAGGGAGGAAGCAGAAAGTGTGCTTCCTAAAGTAAAATCTTGGAGAGATGCTGGAGAAACACCTTGCAGGAAAAACCACCAAGAAGAGGTAAAACTCCAGCACCACCACATCCCCAGCCCACGCACAGCATCTCCACTCCAAGTTAAACAGAGAAACAAGGAGGGCTCCCACGCTGTGGGAGCCAGTGCCTAACCTGCTTGGGAGAAGCAGAACAGCAGGTGAGCTAAGTGGCACATGGTACTCTCATAGACAACCCTGGGCCAGATCAGCATAGCCCCCTGGACAGAGTAACTCCCACCCAGGGAAAAAAACAAACTGAATAATAAACAAGCAGCTGAAAAAAAGAAAAAAGACGTGTATCAAAGAGAGTGGGGCCCCCTGGGCACTGAAGAGAGGGGGAGGAGCAATCCCTCACAGAACTGTAAATAAACAAGCTGGCCAGAGAAGGCAGGAGCGGCACAAGCCAAGCAACCAGGAGTGGGAAAGCTTGTAAAAGTGGTGGTGGGAGGAAAACTCCATGGGAGAGGGGGGAAGACCCATTTCCCACGTGAACTGTAAATAAACACGCTGGCCAGAGATTGCCTGTGTAGCACCACCTCCCCCAGTGTGCTTGGAAAGAGGAAAGCTTGTAACAGTGGTGGACATGCCCAGGAGAACTCTAAGTAAACAAATCCTGCCTGACTAGGTCACTCCTGAGATCTGCATAAATAAAGCCTCCAGCAACAGCAGGCTGACAGTAGGCAGGTGAGCCACAGCCTCAGATAGCCATTCACAGAAATCTCTCCAGACTCTTTTTCTTTTTTTTTTTCACTTCCTTTGATGAGACAACAACCTAACTACACCTGCATGCTAAAAAACTTACTGAAACTGTATTGCATCTGAACTTGGGCCACTTTCTTCTGTTTTGGTTTTTCTTTCTTTTCCTTTTTGGTTTTTTTCCTTTTGATTAGAAAATGACAGAACTTCTTTTTTTTTTTTTCATTTTTCTTTTATTATTCATATGTGCATACAAGGCTTGGTTCATTTCTCCCCCCTGCCCCCACCCCCCAGAACTACTTCTGAGACACCATCTCCAGGATTGGAGGCTGAAGGACTAACACCAAAATTATTAAGACTTAAACTTCATTGCATTTGAACTTGATATTTTTAAAAATTATTTTATTTATTTTTTAAAATTTTATTTATTTTAATTTATTTTTTTAATCCTTTCACTGTCTATCTAATGCCTGTTTAGCTTACTGTTGATTAGTACACTATCTCTCCCTGTTTATATCTTTGACACGGTTTTTATTTGTTTGTTTTGTTTTTACTTGTTTATTTGTTTTTCCCTTTTTCTTTACCTTTTTTGCTTTCCCTCTCCCCTCACCATCCCATTCTAAATATCACCACTGTTATTATTACAAGCTAGAAAATACTTAATTGCACACAGTACAGGGACAGTAACAATACCAAGGGCAATGATGGGAAGACAGAAAAAACAGGGAAACCAGTTTCCCCACAGGAAAAATTAGTACAGGAACCAGAGGGAAATGAAGAAAACAGATACTCAGATTCAGCCTCCAATGAAATGAAGATAAACTATGCCAAAGAACCAAATGAAGCCCACAAAAAATATTAGAAGGATGAAATCCTCCAAGTAATCAATGAGAATTTTACAGAGATGATACTGGATATGGTCAACCAAAATGTACAGGAAACACTCAAGAAATTCAAGACAACAAAAATAGAGAATTTGAGAAAGCACAAGAACAAATAAGAGAAACCATAGAAGCACTGTATAAACACCAAAGTAAAACAAAGAACACGATTAATAAAGAGATAAATGAATCAGGATGAAAATAGACAACATTAAAGAGGAAGAAACTCAGGATATGGAAAACTTCAGAAAAAAGAATGAAACAGAAATGCAAAACAAAATAGAGGGCCAGAATAGAACAAGCAGAAGACAAGAATCTCAGAACTCGAAGATGAAATGGTAATTAAGGGAAAAACCGAAGAACTATTAGTTGAGGTGCAAGCAAAGGGCATGCGTAATATATTCAACAAAATAATTACAGAAAATTTCCCAAATCTAAAAATTTATTCCCATACAGATGCAAAAGGCCCCCAGAACACCAAACAGATCAGACAAAATAGAACTACCCCACGGCATATCATCATTAAAACAACAAATACAGAAACTAGGAAAGAATATTGAAGGCTGTA